GCTTTACACAATTGATGTGTGTATGGATTGCGATAACAGTTGTATGAGCCCCTAATAAAATGTTAAAAAAGAAAAGGGGAAAAAAAAAACCAAACTTAGAAGAATGCCCTGGAACATGTCTCTTCTGTGGGAAGCAGGACGAGATAAAGAGTCCAGTCTAACCATGTTGGTTCCAATTCCTCTTTTGCTGTGTTGCCCGTGGACAAGAGGCTAAATTCACCTTTCTCTGGTTTACTTCTTAGAGACTAGAACTATTTTTTTTAACCAGGATGACATAGGTGTTAGTATGCAAAATGTATTTATTCAATTCATATTTACACTTACATTCTTGGTGCTTGCACAGGGAGCCCTAGTGGTGCTGCTGGGTAAGTGTTGGAGTGCTAACCACAAGGTCGGCTGTTTAAACCCACCAGCCTCTCACAAGGAGACAGATGGAGGCAATTGGCTTCTCTAAAGATTTCCAGTCTTCAAGACCCGATACAGGGTTGCTATGAGTCAGAATCCCTTAGAGCACCGTGACTTTGGGGTTTGGGGTTCAAGTTCTTGAACACGATACACAATAGCCTTGTGCTCTGGGAGCTTCCCTTCTAACTATGATGTAAATTGGTTCCCCAGGCCTGTCACGAGCTATGTCTGGGTTTCCGCCTGCTAACGACCTCATTTTCTTTTTTTTTTCTTTTTTTTTCCGACCTCATTTTCTTATCTACAAATTGGGAGGTGGTTCTACGCTGTCCAATAGGGTCGCCAGGAGTCAGAATCAACTCAGGGGGAACCTTGGTGGCTTGGTGGCTAAAGTGCTGAGCAGGTAACTAAAGGTTGATCTTTCAAACTCATGTGGTATTCTGTAGGAGAAAGATGAGGCAGTCAACTTCCCTATAAGAGTACAGTTGATCTAATAAGATGATTTTTTTAAAAAAGAGTACAGTTGACAGTGGGGTAGTGGGGGGAATGGGGAGAATGAGGAGCTGGTAGCCATTGATGATTGTATACTTCACATAATGGTATTGACCAAAAGAATTGTATGTGGATGGATATATTGGATTGTGTAAGATATGTCAATAAAACTAATATATATATATATGTATATATATTAAGAGTACCGTCTTGGAAGCCCTATGGGGCAGTGTACTCTGTCTTATAGGTTCTCTGGGATTTAGAATCCACTGAATAGCAACAGGTTTGGTGTGGGGGTTTTAGTAGGTTGTTTGCCTGAAGATGGCACAGAAACCAAACGCACTGCCTTCAAGACGGTTCTGACTCCTAGTGACCTCATAGGGCAGGGTCGAACTACCCCTGCAGATTTCCAAGACTGTAGATCTTTACAGGTGTAGAACGCCTCCTCTTTGTCCTTCAGATCGGCTGGTGGTTTTGAACTGCTGGCCTTGTGGTTTGCGGTCCAATGAGTACCCAGCGTGCTAGGAGGGCCCCTCTGAAGATGGCACAGGGTAATGTTTCCCTTTTTCCTTCAATTTTATATAAAGATTGTTCCTATCTATAGGGAGCCTGAGCCTACTGCTAGGAAAAAACAGCTCGCAGGCAGGAAATACTTTTGGGGGTGATGTAAAGAGTTGAACGCACCCCGCTGTTCACCAAAGGTCCAAGACCACTCCAAGGGACCCCTGAAGAAGCACCTGGCGACCAATGTCTGAAAAGTCAGCTATTAAAAACCCCGGCAGACAAATGACCAGCGAGCCCATGCAGAAATGCTCAACATCATCCCGTAGCCAAAAGGAGCCAGTTGCTGACCCAAACATAGAGTTTAAAATGAAAAAAATTAATAAAATAAAAATTGCTTCAGGGGGAATCTCCAGATTCCTAACCCCAGATTGGCCTGAGTGACTGAAAAATTAGGGAAAGTAAAATGGAAGTGGATTTGGAGTCCTTCATGACATGCAAGTTCGTTTCTAAGGTTAAAACGGGAAAGAAAAATGGCTAATAAGCACATGCAAAGCTGGTCAGCCTCCTTCCGTAGTCAAAAGGAGCCAGTTACTCTAGTGTGCATTCCAATGCATGGCGATTCCACACATTTTTATTCTGAAACAGGACCTGGCAGGGTTTCTTTCTGTTGAATCCACGCCGTGGCACCCAACACAAAAACCACAGGCCGTCAGGAGCTGTGACCTTTTCACAGTCCGTCACCAGGCTTTCCCCCGCCACCCCCAGGTGCTTCTAGGTAGGATTGAACCACCAACCTTCTGTGAGCAGCTTTCACCGGTTTGTACCATCCAGGAAGATGTAAACCATAACCGCCCCCCTCAGATGTCACCCTCTGCCCTACTAGAACATCACTGATGTTGGTGAGGCACCCATTGCTGATGGGCGCAGCTGCTGTAGAAAACATTTTCGTAGTTTCTAAAAAGTTAAATGTAGAACTGCCACAGAGTCTAGGCACCCTACACCTAAATATATGCCCCCCCAAATAATGAAAGCAGGTAAGCACATAGGAACTTGCACACCCTCGGACATTGCAACACTATTCAGAAAAGCCAAAATGTGAAAACAACTTAAACGTCCAGCAACAGGGGAATGGATAAACAAAAGGTGGCGTTTATATTTGTGTATACACACACACATATCAGAATATTATTCAGCCATCCAGAAAAATGGAGTCTAGGATCTGTGCAAACTTTGAACACTTTTTGCTGAATGAAATGTCAGTTAAAAGGGATAAAGATTGTATGATCCCACCTGTATGACATAGGAAAATATAGAGATAAAGACTTATTAAGGGTTATCTGGGACTGGAGGACAGAGCTCTGGTGGCGTGGTAGGTTACAGGTTGGGCTGCTAACCACAAGGCCAGCAGTTCGAAACCACCAGTCCCTCCGAGGGAGAACTAGGCGGCTTTCTACTCCTGTTCCATTGGGTCGCCTGTGAGCCGGAATACACTCAATGCCATTGAGGAAAAGGAGGGAGGGTGAAGGCGTGCTTGTAGCATGGAGTTTCTGTTACTGAAGGGGGAATAATTTGTGGAAGAAGAGCAATAAAAGGTCGCACAGCATGAGGAGCGTAACCAATGCCTGAATTATACTTATAAAATGTATTGAATGTTTTGCTATATAGTGTTTTTACAACTAAAAAAAAATAACAAAAGGGTCTTTATGAGTTGTAGTAAGGAACATGGGGGAAACGGAGAGAAATATTTGGAATAGCACAAGGGCACCGTTCAGTATTAATCAGCACTCGTAAATCAATAAGCCTGTGAGTCTAGAGACTGCAAAAAACACTGTGCCACAACCCTGGGCCCAAATGGAGGCGGAAGGACTTAATTTCCCAGCGCGCCTCGCGAGTGCATCCTCTGCGCACGCGCCATTGCGTGCTCCCGCTGCTTCCTGGGAGTTGGAGTCATTCTTTTCCTCAACCGGCCTCGCTTGCCTCGTTTCCCCACCTCCAATCGCGGCTCCTCCTGCCTGCTGGGAAATGTAGTCCGTGGCCACCTCGGACTCCAATTCCCAGCGGGCGTTGGGGCGGGAACCCGGAAGGGGAGGCTGGAGCAGAGCGAGAGGGGGAAACCCGCGTAGCCGAGCGAGCTGCAGCGCGGGGAGATGGTGAGAACCCCGGGCGGGCGCTGGGGGCGTCTGAGAACCGAGCTGGGAGTTCAGGACTGGGTGGTGAGGTGAAAGAGGCAGGGGCCCAAGGAGGGGGCTCGGCGAGGGGAGATCGCTCGGGCGGAGGGGTTGGGAGGAATCGAGCTGTAGAAGAATGGTGGTTGGGGAGGGGGTTTCTAGGTGGGGTGGGAGTCGAGCTTTGGGATTGGTTATGAGGGGGGCTTAGAGGTGGAGAAAGGGGCCCGAGTTGGAGAAGGGACCAGTCTGGCAAGAGATTCTGCAAGGGGCAGTTTCTAAGGGCTTAACTTGGGGATGCTGTAAAAATCATGGACGTGCGGACGAGACCATTGCCAGGGTCTGTGGGCTCCGAGGGAGAGGCCAGGCGTGGGTGAGTGGGTTGAGGCCTCGGTGTCCTATTAGGGGCAGGCGACCCAGTTGAGGAGGTGGAGAAAAGAATTGGTAGTTGGGTGCTGGGAGTCGGGTGGGGTGCGGTGCGTGGACGGAGGGGCCTGGAAGTGGCGACAGTTTGTGTCCACCAGCCAAGAACACTTGATGAATGCGGCAGTCATCGAACTGTAGGCTGAACTGCCCCGAAGGGGGCATAGAGACACCCTTTGGCACCCTCCGCTGCCCAGTGGGGCTTAGGAAAGTATCCGGGTGTATCTGTTGGGTTGCTCCAGTTTTCAAATCTCTTCGCTGCTCCTTGTGACCCGGGGAAGTCTCTCCCTGCTCTTATCTGTATTGTGGGAACAACAAGTCTCCACTGAGACACGGGCACAAGGGTGGATAGCCACTGCCCCTGGTGTTAGTGGGAGAACCTTGGCTAGCTCTGAAGCCCCGCAGTTGCTGCCCGTGTGTTCCCCACCTCAGGAATGTGACTGGGTCACAGGTGCTAAGTGATTCCCTCCCTTGCAGTCCAGCCCCAAGGGGGCATTAAAACCTGGCACAGATCAGGCCACACCCCAGTTCTGAAGCCTGCCTGGGCTCCCTGCAGCCCAGATCCAGCTACCACTGAAACACTGAGTGTTTACAAAGTGCCTGGCCTTGTTCTTAGGGCTTTGTGCAGCATTGACTCGTGTCATTCCGACAATAACGCTGCTAAGCTGCATCTTACCCAAAAAAAAAAAAAGGTATCAGAGGCCCAGGGACGGCTAGTAACTTTTCCAAGGTCACTCAGCCTTCCGTGGCAGACTCAGGAGTCTTATGTATACCATCTTGCTTAGGGTCTGTATTTTTACCGCTGTCATTCATCCCCCACCCCCTCACTCTGGTACTAGGAACACTGGTGGCATTGCAATTAAGCACTTGGCTACCAATCCACAAGGTTGGCGGTTTGAACACCGGTGGCTCCACAGGAGAAAGATGTGGTGGTCTGTTTACAGCTTTGGAAACCTCTGTGGGGCGGTTCCTCCCTGCCCTATGAAGCCGCTGTGTGTCAGAAGGGACTGGAAGACAGCCGAGGTTTCTCCTTGTCTGGGGTACAATGCAGTACGTCAAGATCGGAACTGGGGAGCTCATTCTTCTGCAGTTTGAATTAGAGTCCTGTTGTTTGCCGGCCGGGTGCCTGGGGCAAGTCTTCTAGACTCTCAGAAATTTGTCTCTCCAGATGTAAAATTGGATCAGTCACTGTAGGAGTCATGTTAAGTGCCTCCCAACAAGGAGGAGTCCGGGGGCGCTGTTGGTAACTCCAAGGTCAGGGTTCCTTAGAGTGGGTGAAAGCTGAAGCTCTGTTCCCGTGAAGATTTATGCTCTTGGAAATGCTGGATACGATGGCTACGAGTCGGACTCAATCTGATGGCAGTGGGTTTTGTTTTTGGTTTCGTTTCATTGTGTCTTCCAACCAAGGGCCTCATCGCCCAGCGTGTGTGTCGGACAGTGTCCCGCTGCTGATGGCATGGCTTTTGTTGGCTGATTGTCTTTTGCGACTAGCTCGCCAAGTCTTCCTTCCTCATCTTCTTTGTCTGTCTGGAAGCTCTTCTGAAACCTTGGTGACCCGGCGTGGCATTTGAAATGGGGGTGACCTAGCTTCCGGCATCACAGCAACACACTAGGAAGATAAACAGACGGACACAGCACCTGTAACAAAGGCTACCTGCTATGGTGAAGAGGGTGCAGGATCGGGCAATGTTTTATTCCGTTCTACAGAGGGTCACAATGAGTTGGGGCTGCCTCTGACCAGAGAGAGAAAGAGAGTGAGAGAGAGAGAGAGAGAGCAGCTGGGGGAGGAAGGAGAAGAGGGAGAGGGCTCAGGAAAACGTATGTGTTTTAATGCTTGGAGTTCAAGCTGCAATCTGTGTCAATGAACCTAACTGGGAGGAACCACTAGACAGGGACCAGGGAGGGAGAGATCAACTAGACAGTTCCCTATCTCAACAGACTTGCCCCCCCCCCCTCCCGGACTTCTAACACTCTGTGCCCTACTCCTGGGCTCTTAACTCCCAAGAGGGACTCCTCAAGGGGTGCTTAGAAACTGGACCTGTCCCCATCCCCAGACACATATAAATAATTCATTGGTCAATGGCTGACCTGGCCCGGCTCCAGGTGCTTTGGTGATGAGGAAGTATTTCTAGTAACTTGGGGTGGGGTGGTGTGTGGTGTGTGTGTGTGTGTGTGTGTGTTTCATCTTTTGGTCCTCTGGGTCTTTTGTAAGTGTGCTGCCATGGTTTGCTTTGTGTGTGTGTGTGTGTGTGTGTGTGTGTGTGTGTGTGCGCGCGGGCGCTATGGTCTTGCACCTCCCACCAGATGATTGGGTGGGGCTATGCAAATAAGGGGTTCGCTGTCCATCAAGGAGATGGGACTGCTGGCTAACCATGCAAATAAGGTACACAGTGCCCTTGTGGATGTGAGACTGTGCATGTAAAAATGTTGGGAAGCCTCACGAAGGGATTAGTCAGTTGTGCCAGCCTGCTAGGCTTAAAATGAGCCATCCCAGAGGCTGGAAGAAAGGCTCTCTCACTACCTCCAAGGAGGAGACTGACATGATTTTTGAATGCAGGGTCCCGGTGATGAAAGCCTCCTAGACTCAGGAGACAGAAAGAGAGGGTGAGTTATAATACTGGACATCATGAGAGATGGCAAGGAAAAGCAGCTGTGGGGAAACAATGGCAGCAGAGGCGGGAACAGAATCAGACCAGGAGAGGACAGTGGGCTCTTGTGCCCATGGGCAAGGCAGTTGCCGTGGGGGTGTCAGCCCACAGTGAGAGAGCTGAGAGGCTTCAGACAGCAGGTTTCCTGGAGGAGTTGGGGTACCCCCCCAGACACTTATCGATGGAGCTAAAGAAGTTTGCAACACTTTAGTGAGTAGGGCCACGGCTGGGGCAAAGACCCAGGCGAGGCCTGCCTGAGAAGAGGCAGTCTTGTTCAAAGAACTGTATCCTGAGCTGTTCCTGACCCTGACTCGGAGCCATGTACTTCCCTTACAACGTTATCATGAGTGTGATCTGTGAGTTATGTGACTGCATCCTGGTGGATGCTCAAACCCAGCAGAGCAGCAGGGAGTGCCATGGGAGGGACAACTGGTGTCAGAATTGGTGGAAAAGATTTTTTTTTAATGGGTGGGGCATGTCCCACCTAACTGCCTCTGAGGAATGAGCTTTGAGCTGTGATGTTGATAATGATTCTTTGCCACACCCCCCACCCCTCCACCCCTACCCCGGTTGCCTGGTGGCTAGGTGCTGGGCTACTAACCACAAAGTCAGCAGTTGGAAACCACCAGCCGCTCCGAGGCAGAAAGACGAGGCTTTCGACTCCCATCAAGAGCTACAGTCTTGGAAACCCACGGGGGTGGGGGTGGGGGTGTAGTTCCAACCTATCTTACAGGATCACCATGAGTCAGAATTGATTTGATGACAGGACGTTTATTTGGGTCTTGGTCTTTCTCCTTATAAAGTTAGATGAGGTGGTCGGTCAGACACCCCAGGGCTGCCATTTTTTACAGTCTCTCGTCTGAAGCACTGTGGTTCACTTGTGGCGAACCCTCGGGAGTTTAGCTCATAAATCCTGTGACTCTCTTTGTAAAGCTTCGGGATAAAATCAGTGGAGGCAGGCATACTCGGTTTCAGATCCCCACCCTTGCTGCGGTGTGTCCTTGGCCAAGTTGCTTTCCCGGTCTGGACCTCAAGTTTTCTCCTACGTAAAATGGGGCCACATTCAGACCAGGAGGCTGCTGAGAGACGTTGATGAGAGACTGCATGTCATGTGCCCAGTGCCTACTCAGACCAACCAGACCATTTGCCCTCGGCCATCTCGCTCAGTAAACATACACACCTTCTTCCACGGAGAATAAATAAATCATGAGATGTTTATTCTAGAACAAGTTTTTGGTCTACATACAATTTTACCACCTATCAAAGACCAAAGCGAATTTGGGTCCTGATGAGACGGATGGGGTTGTTTATCTTTACAGAAAGCATCAAATCTCGGTCGAGTCTTTGATATCTCAGTCAATATGGAGGTCCTGGTGGGGCATGCAGTGGTGACGCACTGGGCTGCTAGTGTTCGCAAGGCCAGCAGTTGGAGACCAGCAGCCGCTCCGAGGGAGAAAGATGAGGCTTTCTACTCCCGTAAAGAGTTACAGCCTCAGAAACCCACAGGGGCAGTTCTACCCTGTCCTATAGGGCTGCTAGGGCCATCAACTCTATGGCAGTGAGTTTTGGGGGTGGGGTTGGGTTGTTTGTTTTCTATGATTGTTACTCTTTCAAGAGAACATCGATTGCGTCTGAGCTGTGGCATCAGAACTCCTGGCTTTGAATGCTGACTCGGTCCCTAACTAGCCGTGTGACTGTGGGAAGTCACTTAAGCATTCTGGCCACCCCACCCCTCCACCCCCAGCCCATCTTGTCAGGAAAATGGGAATACAGTCCTTCACGCAAGGGTTACAAGAACTAAGCAAGCCCCTTGTCGACGGACCGATGCCAACTCCTAGTGACTATCGGGCGGGGTAGTACTGCCCCTGTGGCTTTACCTGTCCATCTCCATGTGAGCAGACAGCCTCTCATCTC